GGAGGATTTCCTACGTGAATTAGGATGGACGGGATCCTTACTTTTATCAAAAGGGATAAAAAGCCACTGGCAAGAGATTAAGGCGGTGTTTCTCAAACTCGGCAACTTTAAGATATGTGGACTTCAACTCCCAGAATTCCTCAATCAGCACTCAGATATCTTAGAACAGTGTTTCTCAACCTTGACAATTTTAAGGCATGTGGACTTCAACTCCCAGAATTCCACAGTCAGCAATGCTGGCTGTGGAATTCTGGGAGTTGAAGTCCACATGCCTTAAAATTGTCAAGGTTGAGAAACACTGTCTTAGAAGTTTCTGAGGTTGAGAAGCACTGAATTTAGGCACGGTTGAAACTGGACACGGCAAACACTTTTATGATCTTTGCCTCGACTTGCAACAGTTCATTTAGTGACCATTTGAAGTTACAACAGCGCTGTAAAAAGGGACTTGTGACCGATTTTCATACTGAGGACGGTTGCAGCATCCCCATAATCATGTGATCAAAATTCAGAAGCTGGGCAACGTATATATATGACAGTTGCATGTCCCAGTTTCATGTGATCCCCTTTTACAACCTTCTGACAGACAAAGTCAAAGGGGGGGAGCCAGATTCACAACAGCTGGGTTACTACCTTAACAACTTCAGTGGAAAATGGGCCAAAATTCACAACTGTTTCGCTTAGCAACAGAAATCTGGGGTTCAATTGTCCTAAGTCGAGGACTGCCTGTACGAGGCTTCTCCAACACCATGAAATCCTTGTTCAACTGTTTATTTATTGTTTTATCCCTGGATCTAAAAATCCCTTTTTCCTTATAGAACCGCATGGAGGAGAGCAAAGCCCTTTTCCGGACCATCATCACCTACCCCTGGTTCCAGAACTCCTCTGTCATCCTCTTTCTCAATAAGAAAGATCTCTTGGAAGACAAGATCATGTACTCTCACCTGGTGGATTATTTTCCAGAGTTTGATGGTAAGAAGTGAACTTTTCGGGAATTAAAAATAGGGGATCCGTCCTGCTAACTTGTGAGGCCACGTCCCGTTCGGTTTTTGTTTTGTTTTTTTTGCGGCCGGGGGATTAAAAAGCTGCAGTGCACCCAACATCTCCAACACTGGAAGTTTTTAAGAAGAGACTGGACAGCCACTTGTCTGAAATGGTATAGGGTTTCCTGCCTGAGCAGGGGGTTGGACTCGATGACCTCCAAGGTCCCTTCCAACTATTATTATTATTATTATGGATCATCGCACAGTCAGCCAGATGTTCAGACTGGATTTGGCATTTTTGCCTACCAATCGAGTCCTTACCAAGGACCTGGGATAGGCAGATGTGGATGTTTGATGGTATTACAGATATCGTCGCAGGATGGAAGCGGTTCCTAGTAAGGTCGCCTTTTGCAATTGACTAATGGCGAATTTGTCAATGCCGATGATGGTGTTCCAGTGGTGCTCCAGTTGTTTTGGGATTGCACCCAAGGCACCTATGACTATTGGTACTACCCTTGCTTGCTTTTGCCACAGTCTTTCTATTTCTATTTGTAGGTCTTTGTATTTTGTCATTTTCTCCAGTTCTTTCTTGTCTAGTCTGATTATTATTATTATCATTATCGTTATCATCTGCACCATATTTTGGATCGGTGCAGTGTTTTTCCTGCAGAAAGACGGGGGTCTGCACAGGGCAGCTTCAGCAAGGTGGGAGAAGCACCTCTCTGCTTCAAACCTTTACATTAGCCTGATAATTCGTTGAAGTGGATCCAAATCTGATGCGGTAAAATCTACTTCACCTGAGCGTTCCCTCTTCCCTAGTCCGCTGAGGAAGGAGGCAGAGTCCCAGGAAATACAGCTATCCCAAGGGTGCTTTTTTCGTGAGACAACTGGACTTTCTTGGTTTTTCTTTGAAGACGTTTCACTTCTCATCCAAGAAGCTTCTTCAGTTCTGACGGGATGGTGGGGAAGGGAAGGATTTATACTCCTTGCAGACAGCTGGTCATTTGCCTTCTTTTGGAGAGTCCTCGAGGCCACCTGGAGGTTTGACCCTGACATACAAATAAACCTCCAGGTGGCCTCAAGGACTCTCCAAAAGAAGGCAAATGACCAGCTGTCTGCAAGGAGTATAAATCCTTCCCTTCCCCACCATCCAGTCAGAGCTGAAGAAGCTTCCTGGATGAGAAGCGAAACGTCTTCAAAGCAAAACAAGAAAGTCCAGTTGCCTCATGAAAAGCACCTTTGGGACAACCAGGACCTGGATGACTGAGAATCTCCATAGGCATTTGGCTGACATCTGTATATTTTTGACCCTTTCCTCCCAACTCTGGAAGCTGGCATTTAGGTTGGACAGGCAGGAAGCAACTTGACCTCTAATAACAGGGCAAAATTTTTACAAACGGTGAAATTAGGTTACGGGTCAGAGGTACTTCTGACTTGTGGATGTTGCTCCCCCCATTTCTAGTAAAGGACAGACGTTTTGCTTGTCTCCCTAGATCAGGGCTTTTCAACCTTTTTACCCATTGTACCACTTTTAGGATATGGCAGTATCCGAGTACCACCAGTCGCCTAGCAAGATGTCAAAAAATTGATGCCCCCCCAAAAAAGTGATAAAGTACAGGTAGTCCTCGACTTACAACAGTTCGCTTAGTGACTCTTCGAAGTTACAATGGCATTGAAAAAAGTGCCCCCCCCAAGGCACAGCCGAGCAAGACACCTGCCTGCCCACCCGGCGGCGCTCTTCCTCCTGTCCGAGGTTTTCATTGTTGTGAGCATTTCTGTTGAGGATTGGCAGCGGGGGTGGGGTGGGGGTGTTTGGTTTCTATTCCCCCCCCATCTGCTGGGTGGTTGCAGCAGGTTTTGGTCACTTCACATGACCCTGGGACACTGTGACCGTCATAAATATGAATCAGTTGCCAAGCATCTGGATGTAAATCACAAGACCCTGGAGATGCTGCAACATTCCAGCTGATTGGCGCTTCTTCTGGGCTCAGCGGAAGCGTCAGGATCAGCGCTGAGCTCCAGCTGGAGCCTGGCGCTGATCCTGGCGCTTCCACTGAGCTCTGACAGTCCTGAAGAAGTGCCGATCAGCTGGAAAGCGGCACTGATCCTGGCGCTTCCGCTGAGCCCTGACAGCCCTGCAGCTCCAGCCGTCTCTCGCTCAGGCTTGTGCGGTGCTGCCACCGGTTCAGCTCATTCCCCTCCCCCGCTACCACTTTTCTAGGATGGCCGCGTACCACCTGCCAGGTGCCAAGGTACCACAGGTGGCACCCGTACCACTGGTTGAAAAGCCCTGCCCTAGAGGATACAATGATATTTGGGAAGAGTGAGAACGAGATCCATCGCATTGGAGAACGGCTGCTCTTGATCAGAGGGGCTTCCAGCCAGATAGTCTTCTGCTGCTGAGGATCTCCTTATGATAACCGTGCTTCTTTTCCCGTTCTGTCTCCAGGCCCCCAGAGAGATGCGCAAGCAGCCCGGGAATTCATCCTCAAAATGTTTGTGGATCTCAACCCCGACAGCGATAAAATTATCTACTCTCACTTCACCTGTGCCACAGATACGGAAAACATCCGGTTCGTCTTTGCCGCCGTCAAGGACACCATCCTGCAACTCAACTTGAAGGAATACAACCTAGTCTGACCTTGAATTTAAATCTGTCCTCTTCTCCCACCCTCCCACCTGCCCCTCCCTCAGTCTCCTTGGGGGAGACCTTTTGTCCTGAAGAAAAGTAAGACAAACAGATCCCGTGAATTTAAACCAACAGGAAAACAAATCTTGATTATTATTTTTTTTTAAAAAAATGATGTAATGATTGCAAATTGTCTGATCTGTGGAGTGGCAAAAGTTTTTTTGTTTGTTTGGTTTTTTTTTTCTTGTTCTTTTTTAAGCACACCGTTACCTTCGGTCTCGTGTCTGCCCCACAGAATAGCTGATTTTTTTTTTTAAATTGCTTTTATTTCACAGTATAAAAACAGCGAGGGACACGTTTCACTCTTTCTCTCTCTCTGTCTCTCTGGCACCTTGTTAATTTCCTACTTTGTTGCCAGCAGTCAGCGCAGTTTCCTCTCACACGTTGTACAGTTGCATTTAGTACATTCTTTTTCCTGTCTGATCTGGCGATACAAACGTATCCCAGACTTATCAAGCCAAAACAATGAGCTTATCCAGCTGTGGGAGTATGAAATGCAGCTAGGACCTTCAGCTTGTGCCATATAATGCCTCTGGTGTAACTCCTGCCCCCTCCCCCCCAATACATCTTGACTGTAAGGATATGTGCGAAAAGGGTTTATCTAGATGACACCGTAAGAGAAAAAACCCAGTTTATTTTGCGGTAGCGCAAAACAAGCGGTCCTTCGGTCCGCGGGTTTCTTTGTTCCGTTTTTACTCTGGCTTTTGTGTTCTTCCCCTCTCCCAATTACGAAAGTTCTATTGAGACTGTGATTTATTATTTTTTTTTAAATTATTGTTCTACACATAGTTTGCTACCTGTGCTATACTTTTTTTTTTTTTGTCCGTTGACTACCAACCAAGCAATAGCTACTATCAAGCCTGAGGGAAGTGCCTGATTGCGGGTTTTTTTCCCCCCTTTTCTTTTGTTTCATTATCTTTTTTTGTTTTTGTTTTTTGTTTTCTAATTTAGCATTTAAGGAAAGAAAAAAAAAAAAAAAGAAGAAGAAAGTAAACTTGCTTCTCACCCAACGTGAGGGGGGGAAAAAAATCCCTTTGGCGAAATCCGAAATCTCCACCAGATTTTTGGGGTTTGGAAGGAAGATTTGAGATTTTTTTTTTTACTCGTTACCTTGGATCTTTTGTGCATGTGCGTGCGTGCGTGCGTGTGCGTGTGTGTGTTTTGCAAAAAATCGCCCTTGCTGACCCAGTGTTTTGGGTGGGGTTAGGGTTAAGATGGCGTCAGCATTCTGAATCAAGCCGAAGCAGCCCTTTTTGCCTTTTTAGTCCTAAAAAAAGTATTGGACAGGTCTCTTAAGCCCTTGGTGGGGCTGCAGCCAAATTAAGGGGTGAATGACGTTGCCAAGGCTGGTGTGATTGGCAGCTGCTGCCATCCATCTTCCCGTCTCTCGGCCCTGTTCGGTCAGAAACCGGCTCCCTCTGGCAGTGCCCGTGAGCACGCAGGAAAGGGGCCTGTGGAACAGAGGGGGGTCCAGGCGTAGTTTTGAAGTGGACCAGGTGAGAAGGGGTCCATTTCTGGAAGGCTCGGTGCCAAAAGAGCCCCCTGCTCAAAGCCAGTGCCAAAACCCAAACTTTGCTGGCCTTTTTTTTGCAAGGCAGATCGCCACAGGACTCCCAACTAGGGAATCTAGAGAATTAGATGCTGCCTCCTCTTCCCCCACTCCCCTCCTCTGGAGATCCCGCGTAGCAGCAACAATAGAAGTCTCACAACTGCCAACACTCAGATTTACAGATGCCGCGAGAATCGGTCCTTTTTTCACAAACGGGGACCGATCCCTGTAACGTGGGGAGGAAAAGGACGGGAGCGTCAAATGTGCTGCTTTTTGTTTCCCTCCCTCCCCCACGTTGCGACGGGCAACACTAGTGGACTTCCTCGCACGAGATGTAACGAAGGGTTTTGGGGGGACGTGTTTTGCTTCGACACACAAAAAAAACACTAATTTCGCACGGACGTTTGCAGCATTCCGGCGTGGAGGGAAGGGCGGGAGAGGTTTCTGCCTTTGGATTTCTGGGATTGCCCCTTCATTGTGGAACACTACAGAAAGAAGCCGAGGCGGGGAGAACTGCGTTTTTTTGGGGTGGGTGGGCGGGGGAGTCCCTCCCGCTTACCGTCGGCGTTGTACCGACAACACGCCGCGAATGAGAAGTTGTGAAAATTATGGGAGAAAGTAACTTACAAGTTACTGCAGAGTAACTACACAAAAGGGCTTGTTGGGTTGATCGGGGTGGGGTGGGGGTGGAGAAGGGAGCTATTTTCCAACGTCACCAACATTCCTGACTTTTTTTTGTTAATTGTTTTGATCTAAATGTATCGGGGTGTGTGTGTTGTGTTTTGGGGAGAGGGGCAAACGGAGTCCCCCGATCGACCGAGGAACAGCTACACGTCGAATTTGTCTTCTCGCCCAAAGACCCAGACTTTTTCTTTCTACAAGGGGGACTCTGTCCTTTGCAAAGGTGCCATGACTTAACGGAAGTGTTTCCTTGGGCGGAGCGAGCCCCCTACCTCTCCAGCGGGCTTCGGCGCAGCCTTTGGACCTGGAACTTGGATTGGGAGCGCTTGGCCCACCTCTTTCTCGCGCGCGCATTGGGCCTTCATCCCGGACTGCGGTGCCTGCCCAGCGGGCCCTTAGCCCCACGCAGGTTGCGAGCGGCCAGGGAGGCTGCGTGGAGAAGGGTGAGGGGCCTCTCCTGTTCTCGTGAAGCTGCACTACGTGGACCAGCCGTCGGGAGGGATGTCCCGCCCCAGTTTCTGCTCGTGAGCGTGCCAACCTCCCTCGCCCACCGACGCCTTCCTCCCTTCCCCCCTTCAGTTGGGCTGATGGGAACTGGTCGAGGTTCCGGATGATTCCAAACGGAAGATGCCATGAGTCCTTGAAATCGGGCCTTCCGCCTGGCGGAGGCAGCCAAAGTTAAGACGGGGGAAGCATCTGTCTGACCATGTTCTGTTCACGGTGCACTTTATATTGAAAAAACAAAAAAATCCTACTGAAGACGCACTAATCTGCTCGCACACTTCATCGGCCTGTAGGCGGAAGGAGGATTGCCAAAAAAAACACCCAACTCCAACACCATTCCATTTTCTTTCTGGGGACTTTTGCAACGGTGGGCCCACTTGACCGGCAGCTGCCCCCTCCCCTGAACCCGGTCTCCCCTTGAGATCGAATTCTCCACCTGCTTTTTTCACCTTCTATCGTGGTTTTCCCTCCCTCACTTAAAACACATCGCTACTTTGGGGGGGGGCCTGTGTGCTGGCCGTAGGATCCCGCTTGACCCGGAAAGGAAGGCCGAGTTCGCCATCTGAGGTCCCAAGTCTGTAATTTCAGTACTCTCTCTCTCTCTTTCTCTTTCTCTCTGTGTGTGTATACGTTGTATACTTTTTTTTAATTTTTTTTTTAAAAAAAGCATTACATGGTTTTTGTGCCAATACCCGCCATCCTTTTCTTTAGTACCAGAGACTCTTTTTACAAGTACCAGTGTGGTGAAAAATTATTTGGTTATACTAGTATATTATAATAAAGAGAACCTGATTTAAAAAAAAAATAACATTTAAACATCCTATTTAAAAAGAAAACAAACTATTATATATATATATATAAATATATATATAAAAAATGCTGTTTTTAAAAACCTTTTTTTGTCATTTTGAACTTGCATGTGGTGTTAACACGTCGGGGGGCGGGGTGGGCAAAGGAGGGGATTTTGAATTTTTGTGGCCCGGGATTGGTATTTCTCCCCCCACCCCTCCGGTGTTCCTGTCTCGCTCTCCCGACGGCGAGGAGGCGGGGACTGGGCTTCTCGGAACACTTGAATTCGTTCATCTGCTGGGTGCTGACCCTCCTTCTTTTAGAAGTACCTGATGGAAAATTGATTTTCATAGCTTTCTCCTGAATAAATTGTTTGAAATTGGAATAAAATTCATTCCTTACAAAAATTTCTCTGTGCTTTTTTTTTTTTTTTAAAAAAACAATTGAGCGGTTGTAAGTTCGTTTAGGGACGTTCCGGAGTTACATCAGCACTGGAAAAAGTGATTTAACAACTATTTTTCACACTCACTTAACGACTGTTGCAGCATCTCCACGGTCACGTGAACAAAATTCAGACGCTTGGCAACTGACTCTCATTTACGACGGTCGCAGCGTCCTCGGGTCACGTGATCCCCTTTTGCAAACTTCTGCCAAGCAAAGTCAAGGGGGGGGGAAGCCAAATTCACTTAACAACCGTGTGACTAAGTTAAGAACTGCAGTGTTTCACTTAACAACCGTGGCAAAAAAAAGTCATGAAATGAGGCAAAACTCAACTCACTTAGCAACATAAATTTTTGGACCCAATGGTGGTCGTAAGTCAAGGACTACCTGTAAACTGGATGTCAATCAAATTGGTAAATAGCTTATTTACCCCAACAGTTGCTCTGGGTGGCGAAATGACTGGTGTAAAAATTTAATATATAAATCTGTAGGATTGAGACCCACATCGATATATAATTGGCTGGAGGAAAGGCATCTTTTATCTGAGAAGGGGGGAGAGGCTGTTCCAGGGCTATTCAAACATGTGGAATAATCTGTTGGTTTTTACCACAGGAGGCCATACATATCATGCTGGAAATCTTCCCCTTACTGCTTTTTTGAGTTTTTGGACTTGATTTTCCTAATATTGATGGAACACAAAATGTTTAAGGAAGACGGGCTTAAAGCATAAAGCAGAATTAATCCTCTACCAGTAGTCCTCAACAACAGTTCATTTAGTGACCGTTCAAAGTGACAGTGGGACTGAAAAAAAAATCACTTATGACCGTTTTTCCCACTTATAAGTTGTAATTATAATTCATGTTTATGACGGTTGCAGTGTCCTGGGGGTCATGTGGATCAGCTTTTGCGACCATACGAGCTAGATTGGGGGAAGCTAGATTCATTTAACAAGCACGTTAATAACTGAACAAATCTGGCGCAGAAGATCCTAAAGTGGAGCAAAATTCACTTCACAAATCTTTTACTTTGCGACGAAAACGTTGGGCTCCGTTTGCCGTAACTCGAGGGCTACCTGTATTCTGTTCAGATGCCTTGAAAAGAACGTGTGTTGTGTCACCGGCACAGTTAAAAAGGAGCATATAACCCTAACCCAGAGGTAGGGCTCTTTTATGATTCGTGGACTTCAACTCCCAGAATTCCTGAGCCAGCCATGCTGAGGGGAAAGGGAGACATTTGCAAGCTGAGCCATTCTGGCTCAGGAATTCTGGGAGTTGAAGTCCACGAGTCATAAAAGAGCCAAGGTTGCCTATCCCTGATCTGGAGGGTCTCAGCCTAGGCCAGGGGTAGGCAACCTTGGCTCTTTTATGACTCTTGGACTTCAACTCCCAGAATTCCTGAGCCAGCCATGCTGAGGGGAAAGAGAGAGGTTTCCAAGCTGAGCCATGCTGGCTCAGGAATTCTGGGAGTTGAAGTCCACGAGTCATCAAAGAGCCAAGGTTGCCTACCCCTTCCCTAACCAATTAAGTCAGAACTTACATTTTGGTTTTTTTATGAAACCACGCAGCTGCCTGGAGATTTCCATGGCTTAGTTTAGTAGCGTTGTGGCGCAGATAACATCGGGCTTCAACCCATCTTGGTAGCAGTGGCCCTTTTGACGTCTCTAGGCCCGATGGAAACATTGATTTGGGCAGAAAATTGGAATAGAATTCCTTGTCAATAAGACATCATTCTGAGCAAGGCTATAGGATAGTTGAAGAACTGACAGGAAATTAGATAGCAGACGTCAAGGATGTTTTAAAACCCACCATAGAGTTGAAGCATCCAGTGAAGGCCCATTCAGCACCGGGACCTCAATTTAGACCAGGGGCTTCCAACCTTGGCAACTTTAAAACTTGTGGACTTCAACTCCCAGAATTCTGACTAGGGAATTCT